ATATATATATATATATATATATATATATATATATATATATATATCTTCTGTATCAAAATTCGATATCGTTGAACGATAGTTCCGTTGTCCTGTCTATCGGGGTGAAGACAACTCGTCTGCCGTCGGGATGCTTTATCGCGATCTTCACGGTTACACCAACGATGCTCTCGCTGGCTGACAAGCTGAGAGTGAATGGGTGCCCCGGCTCAGTAGCCTAAGTCTTCCCGAGAGGTGAGCCAAGCAAAAGAAAATATAGTTCAGACTGTTAGAGCTGAAGACGGTTGCATAATATAACGAAGGCGCGTCGCGACGTGGCAACGTGCTCTCGAATCACGCGTATCTCGGACTATACTATTATACGGTTCCTTTTCTTTATTGTCGTCGTTCTTCGTCATCATCGTCGTCGTTGCTGACCTTTGGGAAATATAAAGCACACGTAAGCGGTTGATTCTGAGGGGTGCGGCCATCGCCACCACGATAAACAGAGCAGTTGGCGCACGATCGACCGCTTGAAGATGCCGACGTCGGTGAAGGCCGATCCGATTTCGAGTCGCAGATTCGCACCCGGCTGGCTGTCTAGCTTGCCTTGAGCGTCGCGCGGAATATAAGAGGAAGCGCTGATGTGATCGGCGAGCGAATCGCTAGGCAAGCCGATCGATCGAGCTGTCGACGGAATCGAAATTCCGCGCGCGGAGGGTGAATCCTTTCGCCGACTTTCGGACGGCGGCTCGCTTCTAGTTTCTCCGCAGCGAGCCACACGTAAAAGTCGATGAAGAACGATGCGGCACGGTGTTCGTTTTCTCAGTGTGATGCAATTCTCGCGCACAGCGTACGTTAGGATCGCGTCCGATCAGAGGATCGTTATCTGCCGGATGCAATTTGTTAATTGATACAAATATGTCTTAGACAGCCAGACCTTCCAAAGGACGTTTTGAGGATGTTCTCGAGACATCCACGAAACGTCCCTTGGAGGTATATCCTGTACAAGGCCGATCAATCTCTCCGTTTTATTTCCGCTTAACATTGCTTGTTCCTTCGTATGATGCGACCTTGTGTCCATTAGTCGTGCAATTAGCGCGATTGCGAGACACCTCTTCATAAAAATGCGACCATGTCGGGGACCCTTTTCCCTAGAAGGTAAGGCGTCGATTAAGAATGGCGTTTCAAGTGCGAGCACGACAGCTACAAGTTTCTTCGACAATACCGTAGCACAAGAAACAGCCGACTAATCGCGCGTCCGTAGCCACACAGCAATTACATTGTATTGATGGGCGATGCTGTAACCACACACGGAGACTAATTAACTATTCGACTCGATAGCATCATCAAGTAATGCAAAACTTTCGCCGTAATTATTAGCAAATGGTTCGTCACGAAGATGATCGATCAAGTTACGCTCGCCGATTGATCTGGAAAGCAAAGGTGCAGAACTGAAAAATTCGACAGTACAAGCAAATGGTGCTCTTCCAGCCAAATCTTGCTGAATCTACAGTTTATATATATCATAGATTTTCAGGAGAATTTCTCTCAGAAAAGACGCTTCGAAATGTAAACTCTACAGAGTAGAAAATTATGATGGCAAAAAATTGATTAAATTATGAATTTTTAAGGTAATTTTTTTATTTCAACGTCATTGTGATTTTTTGTTCTACTTGGGCCCCAAATAAATAACCTTACCTGAGTTCTTACGTGGATCCTAAGAAAATAACCTTCTAAACAAATTCCACTTTTTGATTATGATCCGGTCATCTCGTCATTTTGACGTTATCGTGATTTTCCGTTCTACTTGAAAGCTAAAGAAAGAAAAAAGGACTCCGTCTACAAGCCTATCAGTTTCATAAAAATAACGATCTCATAGCTCTTATTATCTGTTGGAAATATTGGCAACTCGTGTCGCACACACATTCGGAAATTCTCACTTATCATCGGCTCTAATTACAGTATTTATTACACATGCCTTCTCATGCCATTCTGACAAGGTTAAGTTAGGTTAGATCAAAATTGAGCGCCTGGAGCCGTGACGGCCGACGCATCGCGCTCTGAGTGCCATCTGTGGGCGGCGTGCGGAACTCGGCAGCGATATACTTTCGAGCGATTCAAATTCCGTCGAGTGGTTACGGCGGTAGTTTCGCCGGTCGTGGTTCACGCGGAAACCGTTATTGTGCGGCATCGTTGACGCGTCTCGCGTGCGTGCTGTGCCAGGCGACGAAGAAACGAGAGGCCAAGGACGATGATGGACGAGGGGACGACCGACGAGTGTCCGAACAACGCGCAGCTGTTTCGTATCGCGATCTCCCACAGTCTGAAAAGCATCGCAGAGTCCGTGAGGTAAGCTACTAGGAGAGGCGCTCTATTCGGTTTCGCGCCTGTTTCCAGCACGCTCCGCGTCGTTCTGCGCCCTTAACCTCTCTCTCTCTCTCTCTCTCTCTCTCTCTCTTTGCGCTAGCGATATGTATTCCTCGTTCGTGTGTGTATTCCCGCAGCTTGCGCGAGCAGCCGCGAGTTCGTTTCTGTCAAGCGGACGACACCGCGGAGCCTCTTCGACTCGTGCCGTAATCGTCCTGGAATGCCGCGAACTGGACATCCTCATCGCGGACCACCCCCTCGCCGGTCGCTGCGAGCGGTGAGCTAATCGTGCGCGAAACACAAAGGGAAAGTTACAGTTTCTGTTATGTCGATTATCGCCCGAGGCGTCTCCTCAGCGCGTTCCCGAGAGAGAGTGAGAGGCGTCTCGTGCAATAATTTATCTTCACCTGTCAGCGCGATTCCTACCATTTCTGTCTATCGTCGAGCTCGTCCCGCGCCGGGAGATGATTCTTGCTACTACCAAGTTCCTAAGTTCGAGCAAGAGTTTCATCTTCGCCGCCCACTCTACTCGTATAAGTTTGCTCGAGCGACTAATTGTGATTTCTATGTCCAAACACGCTTGGCTAATAATAATAATACAACTGTTAAGTGTGTTAAGTATACTGTGTGGTCGCAGGAGTATATTCTCAAGAACATCTGAGTTTTGACGCGCATCAGGATTTTCGATTGTTTTCCGATATTCCTTTTCCTGATGAGTTCGTAAAATGAGACGTTGAGATCAAGAATGCATTACGTCATTGGTGTATGCGGACATAATTTCTGCGAAAAGAGATGGTCAAGTATACTCGCTTATTTACATGAACAAGTTTTCAAATAAGAAACAAAATATAGATAAATATGTTATTATCAGTTGTAACTTGAGAAAACTATTTAGGGCCGTATTCTTGATATGTATTCGAGCCTTGAATACATCCCTTTTTTTATTTCAAGTTTCGTTTTTCTTACACAAATGTTCCCTAAAAAATTGTTTTAGAGCGAATTCACTCCTTGGCAGAAAAGCAGAAAGAGACAGAAGCCAGTCAGAATCAGTGCTAGTGATCAGAGTTGCATCCCAAAACATCTTTTTCGAGGAAAATTTTACTCTTAAATCTATAGTTCATGTTACGTATACTATAGACTTTTTATAAGAGTAAAATTTTCCTCGGAAAGGACGTTTTGGAATGCAACCCAGATGGTAATCGACAATGTTTTGCGACGTTCCGATATTCACTGCCAGTGAAAATCTTTAGTATATGTTATATAAACTATAGATTTTCGGTACTGACAATAAATATCAGAACACGATCTTTGTATTTCAACCAGCGCGTGCGAGTTTTGTTTGGCCTCTGCCTTTCTGCTTTTCTGCCAAGCTGTGAACCTTCCCTCAGTCAGAATCAAAAAGGCATAGTAGTGTTCGAATACGCAGCGCTTTGAAGTCAAAATATTGATATTATTACCGTAGGAGTCTTGTTGAAACTTCCCCAAGTTGCGACGCTCTAGTGAAAGATTAAACAGATCGATACGTAAGGTCATCGTGTGAATCGTGTTCCTACGACCTGGCAGCAGGCTAATATCGGTGACTCGTCTTCCTCTCTCTCACGAGAGAGTCGATTCGTGGTTTATCGACACGGCGAGGCAGCGGTTCCGAACGGGAAGTGGAAGGGATTACGGCGTCGTCGATGACCCGACGCACGACGACGGTAACTCGGTGTTACTCGATGTCATTGGCCTCCACGGTTCGCATGTTAATTCCACGTCGCTCACGTGGTCTTGCAAATCGTTTCTGACCTCTCGGGACGCGAGCCTCGGGATTTGCTTGTCCCTTTCGGCGACACGTCCATCTTCCGAGAAGGCCTCCTTCGAGAAGGCCCATGACGGATTACCGGCCGCGCACCAGTTGACCTTCGAGGAATTCCACGAAGCATTCGAGGAAACAAAGGCTCTCCCCGCCACCACCGGTCACTCGGTGTGTGTCGCGTGAATCGTGCGTGCGTGCTCCGCAGGGTTCACTCTCTCGCCACTCGTGCACCGTAGATCGAATGCTCATCATCGATTCGTCATCGCTCCGCGCTGAGTGAAGCTCGTCGAAAGTTGACTCTGACGGTTGCCGGGACGATTAGAATCAATCTCGGCCGGGGACGCTATAAATTAAGCACGGAGCATTCCAAGTATCATCCTTGCTTGTAGTGGAATTATTTAATAAAATAGCATATTGTGTCGGCTTCGTGCGAAAGGTCTTTCACCACAGACATTGAACGAGTGTTGATGTGAGCGAAGCGTCTATTGAATTGGAATCTACGAGAAATGTGCATTCTACGCGTGAAAAATTTCCGAATCGATCTGATACTGTCGTGATACAAACGTAAGGAATGTTTGCGTTAGCATTTGACAGTTAATTTGGTTCTGTCGTCCTGCACGTGTCGGAAATGCGGAATGTTATCGGTTCGACACGCAACCAAAGAAATCGCCGGGCTATCAGAGGCGGAAACGTGCTTAGTTAGGTCTGGACTAATGCAAATATGTAGCATTGATATCAAATTGCACCAGTCCCGGCCTAATTGAGTATGCAGGAAACAACGCTATCACTTCCGTGTCGCTATTGATACGCGAGAAATGCAGATTTCGGTGAGTGTTGCCGCACAATAATAATAAGTAGCGCGGGACGCTCTCTCATAATCACATGATGCGCAAATATTGCATCAGAATAAGCGCAAGACGTGCCGACGTGCGTTTCTGAGACGTCGGAAGCTCCGGAGAAGATTGGATCTTGCTATTGTATGCTTATTGCAACATGACGAACGGTCGATTAGAGCCGTTCGGGCGCCGTCTCTTGTGATCGAACGGGTCGCCGGCTCTTTGTCTGGCGTCGGGACAAAGAAAAATTCGATCCTCCGGCGATAGTCGGTCGCGCGCTAACTATGCATCATACGCGGGGGAATGTGCATCCGGTCGTGCCTCGGAGCCGGTGGAGTAAGGGCGCGTATCATTCTTACGCACACGTGGCTATCGTACGATGCGTCATTGTTTTAGGTCGATAAGCCGCCGTTCCCTGAAACGAGATGAAGCGAATAATTTTAATCTTGCTTGCCGCAGCAGTTTGTTATGTCACATTAGGTCTGTTCTTTTCAGCTAAATTGGTGCACTCTGGTGCAATAAGAGATTAGAGTGAGACAAATATATTTTATTTCATTTCAACTTATTGCACGAGCCAGTTCAAGCAGTTCAGGTAAAAAGAATAGATCTATTATATATTCCGCGATACGTTATATCTTTAGGAGGTGGTGAAGTCTCGCAAACATCGTTGCTCGCAAGTATTCCTTGCAAGCCATTATTAGCGACGGTAGTAACGCGCTTTCGCGAGTTATTAATTCGCAACGGTGGAACTTCCTTATCCACATAATAATAAGTTCTCTCTCTCGACCTCTTCCGTTCCAGCGAGGATAAGTTCGTCAAGATACTTACGATCCTCGAGTCCAAGCCCAAGATCGCCAAGAAGCTGTATAAAGTCATGGTGCAGGAACTGTACAATAGCATGAACGGCGACCTGGAGGCTCTGCTGGAAGGCGAGGGCGCCGTACAAGACGCTCTGACCAAGATCGCTGAACTGTCGGAAGACAGCACGACGTCTGCCAACGAAGATGCATGGTTAGTTGATAAGCTCATTGGAAAATCGCTACTCGCGGTTACTCGATGAATCCCCCCCCCCCCCCCCC